ATGGCAGGCAGAGTGGCATGTTTGCTGTGTAGTGGCCGCTCTGCTGCTGCACAATGCCACCATTTCCAACCAGAGCGTCCCAGGTTGCTAAGAGCCAGGCGGGGAGATGTGTAAGGGCCCAACTCGTACCCTTTGCCTCATTAGCCTATCACCATCTGGGAACACAAGTCGCAGAAAACAGCAGACCAATTTCCTTAAATAATACAGGACCTACCAATATAGGACCCACCTCCACATGTACACTGACCTCTCATGAGGAATCACTCTTACAGAAAGGCCTCAACTTCGACCCCAACATTAACCCCAACTCCTTTACCCTATTTAAAGACCTGAACAAGTTCAGATGAAATCTCACCTTTAAAAAGACACTACAAGCAAAACACAACCACAAACGCTACAGAAATAGGCGACCCAGACAATATTACCCCACCCTGCCCACTCGAACAAGATTCAGGTTTAGACCCAGATAGAGACAGCCTCTCCAATTTGGAAGAATTAGCTGACCCCACCAGATTTCTTATTTGAGGATTTGCACAACTCCAACTTCATCCATCTCCCTTTCCACCCCATCCAACTTCTACTCACACAAATCCAAAGGTTCACACATTGAAACCTTTTATCAAGTCACTTACCGCGAATTTGTCAAACTGTGTGACAAAGACAAGGCCTCTAAGAAAAGGAATAGGGCCAAGAATAATAAGAATAATAAGAAAAATGCTAATCTCTCCACCTCAGAACAAAAAGCCCTCAAAAAATTAACCACCAATGACCAGGCTGATAAAGGAGGGGGTATCGTCATTCAAAACAGTGATGATTACATAAAAGAAGCCCTACGCCTCTTGTCTGACACCTCCACTTACCAGACACTGTCCACAGACCCATTGCCCCATTTTCTCTTTCTCTTTCTTAAAGCTTTAACTGAACAAGCATTTCCGCCCCATCATCTTCAGGATTGACAGTCTCACCATTGATTGACCTCTCCTGGTATGTGTATTTTTTCCTGCAGCCAATAGTCACTTCAATACCCTCATATCTCAGAGACTCTGGACACCTAATTGAGATTCTCCGTCAATACTCCTGGGGACCCTCCTAACACTGGGTGCCCCTAACATCTGTTTCCTTTACACCTCTATTGCCCATCAGGGGGGCTTAGAGGCTCTACATTACTACCTGTCACAAGCACCCACTCTTCATCATAAACAAGCCCTATTCCTAATAAATTTCACACGCTATACATTGGAACACAATTATTTTTCTTTCCTAGACAAATATTACCTACAGGTCCAAGGCACAGCCATGGGGGCGAGTTATGTCCCCAGCTATGCCAACCTGACCATGGGTTACTGGGAACCCATTTGCCCAACACCTAATTTACTACGGCCGTTACATTTATAACATTCTCATCCTGTGGGATGGACCATCTGACTCCATCACCCAATTTGTTTTACACTGTAATAACAACACTTCTGGCCTTAAATTCACCTACGTCATTGACCGCCTTAAACTTGTGTTCTTAGATTTGGAACTCTCACACACTGACGAGACTATCATGACTAAAACACATTCCAAGCCTACTGTTGGGAATCCTTACCTCCACTAAAGAAGCTGTCATCAACCCTTGTGGAAACGTAATGTCCCAAAGGGTCAATTCTGTAGATTGAACAAAAATTGTACCAAAAAAGAGGACTACCTGAGCCAAAGCCACCATCTCAAAAGTCACCATCTCAAACACAAGTTTCTGGTTGCCAGGAGCTGGGTGGGACAGCGACCAGAGCGACCCCCCGCCTTCCACCGCCTCTGGTGGCAAATAGGCTAGGGACACTTTTGCAAAACAATACAAGATATTTTCACCTGATATTGGGACAAATACATCAATGTTTGAAAAATATACTGACCTCCCAACTTTGACGTTGAAGCTAATCCAGTGAGCCCAAATCTCCTTGTATTTTTCTTATTAAAAGAGGAAACAGCTCTTTTCTCTCTAAAGTATTCTAGCTGATTCATTTCATCTGATGAACTAGGATATTCAGGAATAACGAGTTTAGCAGCTAAAATTAGATATGTTATGTTATTATTTTTGCTAACTTTTACATCATCAGAGTCCCAGATTGAATAATACAAGCAAGGGAGAGAAGGTAATCTCCTTTTGAGTAATGCGTTTAATAAGAAAACCAACATTATTCCAAAATAAGAACATGTGTGGACAGAATCACCACAAATGTACACACATCCCAGTACAGTCAACACATTTTCATCAATTTTAATAAACTTATGGTAATTTTGAGTGATTAGGGTAAAAAAAAGGATGTTTAAAAAATATTAGTTTTTTTTCTTTTTCAACAATTATATTTAATTTTTAACACTATACAATTTTATTGGAAAACTATTTGCTTTTTTTAAATACAGTGAGGGGAATTTATCAAAACAGGAGCAGACAAAATCTGGAGCAGATTTGCACTGCCACCAATCAGCTTCTCTGTCTCATTTCCATATCTTACCTGAGCAAACTGAAGAGAGATTGGTTGCCATGGGCAACTGCTCCAGATTCTGTTTACTCCAGTTTTGATACATTCCCACCATTATGTCTTGCATATCTTAGAGTTACAGCAACTTTGGGTGAAGACGCCAGTTGGATCAAATGCATTGTGTAACACTGTAGATGCACTTACTTTTATACTGTTTGATGTTCTCCTGCACTGTCAAAGGATTATTTCAGAAACTAATTGGATCAGGGATCCATTATGTTTAATTGTTATACAATCCTATATTACACAGTCACTGATTACAGGAGGACACCACTGGGGTGTAAAACTTGTTAAACAAGTCTATCCAGATGATTTGCCTTCTTCTGTTAACTAATAGTAAAGACCAAAGTTACAAATTCAGCGTTGTACATTACCAATGGTTGGTTGAGGAACCAGTTCTCTTCTGGAGGTTGGACACCTGTACATCTGATGCCTCCCCTAAGGCATTATATGCAGGATAATGTCTCCAAGAACACATGGGCAGCTTTGTATATGATTCTAACAAAACTATTAGAGATGAAAAAAGATTACCTTAAACTTTACTTGCTGATAATGTATGTTTACTACAATTACTAAGGCCTGATCTCAACATACACTATATTGCCAAAAGTACTGGGACGCCGGCCTTTACACGCACATGAACTTTAATGACATCCCAGTCTTAGTCCGTAGGCTTCAATGCTTGGCCCACCCTCTGCAGCTATAACAGCTTCAACTCTTCTGGGAAGGCGCCCACAAGGTTTAGGAGTGTGTCTATGGGGGATGTTTGACCATTCTTCCAGATGCGCATTTGTGAGGTCAGGTACTGATGTTGGACGAGAAGGCCTGGCTCGCATTCTTCGCTCTAATTTATCCCAAAGGTGTTCTATCGGGTTGAGGTCAGGACTCTGTGCAGGCCAGTCAAGTTCCTCTACCCCAAACTCGCTCATCCATGTCTTTATGGACCTTGCTTTGTGCACTGGTGCGCAGTCATGTTGGAACAGGAAGGGGCCATC